AAAAAAAAAAAAAAAAACAGAAATTCAAGTGGCACAGGAAAAATTTACAGAAATGTTCGGCTAGTCGCGGAGAAAATGAAGGGTAGAGCTGAAACTTTTTGGTCTTTGGAGGCAAATTTTCCATTAAAACGCTCCGTCAATAAGAGCCAAAAATTCAGCAATAAAGGTTTCAACGGAAAACGCTCTCGAGTATCCTAAAAAATATAAGTTTTCCTGCTTACTGTCACCTTGTGCCAAATATTGGGAAATTCTAATTCTACGGTTTTAAAATCTGAATACTTGACAGAAATCCAGTATGTTTCTCTCAAAAGCACGTTTTTTTAACAGCGACTACAACTTCATATCGTCATAACTCGGGTTGATTAAATATTTTTCATTCGTTCTCATTTCTGTGCAAATGCTTGACACAGGAAAAATATTTCCCAGTAGTTAATGCTTTCCTCATCATATTTTTAATAGAAAAAAAATTCGGCTATAATACGTAGAATCTTTTATAAATGCGTTGGGAAGAAGGAACACGACGATCTATCTTAAGAATTTAAAGGAAATCGTCAAATTGCAACATATTTTTACACCACAAGATGCCATTTTTTAGTGGTTATGACAATCCATAGGGGGAGGAACCAAACGCCAAATGCCAAAATGCCACCAAAAAATTTTGATTGAGTCATTGGTACAATTGCACGGTGGCCATGGAGTCTTCATAAGCGAAAAATTACGCCCTTCTGATTTTCTCTTCGAATTTCTATTCGGAAAAACCGAAATTCCCGATGTTCTGATGAGATTCTCGTCACGATAACCGAGCAAACCGATTCCGCTGCTTCCGGCTTCTTCCGGCTCACACTAAACCGAGCTTCGCGTTGCGAGGATCTTTTCGATGGGTTATGAAATTGTCGGTTTTGTGTCTCAAAAAGGTCTATAGGTTTGAGTCCATGGAGGCGCATCCGACGGCTTATTCCAATCGAAAGGATCTAGGATAATAAACACTGTAATGATTTCCCATTCAACAGGATCGGGTATACCATAATAAATCTCATACATGTCCTCAATATTTTCCCTCTCGTCAGGAACCGAAACCGTTAAGGGTCGAACAGACATGTCCGAAGAGTCCTCGTGTAGGGGGACGAGGTTCTCAAGGAACCTTTTCACCCCGATCAACGATTTAAAGAAGCTTGTCCGAAATCGTTGAATGTTTTTCGAATCAACAAATTCTTTATCAGTAGACGTCAAAAGCAGTGTCCAGCGCTGTTTTCTCGTCATTTGCAAAGGATCCCTGTAGTTTTGAGGCCACAGCAAACCTCCTGGTTGCTCCAACTCTGCTATACGGCTCTTAACGCGAAGGGCTAGTAAATATATGTTACGTTGTTCCTGAAAAAAAAAAAAAAAAAAAAAAAAAAAAAAAAAAAAAAAAAAAAA